AGTTTATCCATCGTCATCTTTTTTCAAAGTTTTAGTTTTCTTTGCGCTGGTTATGTAGTCCTCCTTTAGCTCTGAGAAGTTTGATGACTGAGAGCCTTTCTTCTCGTCACTCTCTCTCTGTCCAGCTTGTTCCGTTGCTGGCGATGAGCTCGGTTCCTGGAGCGGAGATGCGCTCTGATTTTTTGTATTCAGCTTTTCTGCACTGCTTTTCCCCATCTTTGTGGTTTTATCTGCCTTTGTCTTTGATGATGGCGATGTACTGGATGGGTTTTTGGTGGTGGGTGGTCCCGTTTGTTACTTTCCTTCTAACAGGACCCTCAGCTGTAGGTCTTGGAGTTTGCTTGAGGCCCACTGCAGACCCTGTTTGCCTGGTATCAGCAGCGGAGCTGCAGAAGATGAATATTGCTGAACAGCAGTGTTGCTGTGTGATTCTTGCTGGGCTTCGCTCAGGGGTGTACCCCGCATGTGAGGTGTGAGTGTCGGTCTGCACCTAGTAGGGGTAGTCTCCCAGTTAGGCTACTCAGGGGTCAGGGACCCACTTGAGCAGGCAGTCTATCCGTTCTCAGATCTCAACTCCGTGCTGGGAGATCCAATGCTATCTTCAAAGCTGTCAGACAGGGGCATTTACCTCTGCTGAGGTTTCTGCTGCTTTTTGTTTAGCTATGCTGCTTTTTGTTTAGCTCCCCAGAGGAGAAGTCTACCGAGGCAGGCCGGCCTCCTTGAGCTGTAGTGGGCTCCACCCAATTCGAGCTTCCCAGCAGCTTTGTTTACCTACTTAAGCCTCAGCAATAGTGGGCGCCCCTCCCCCAGCCTCACTGACATCTTGCAGTTAGATCTCAGACTGCTGTGCTAGCAATGAGGGAGGCTCCGTGGGCATGGGACCCTCTGGGCCAGGTGTGGGATATAATCTCCTGGTGTGCCGTTTGCTAAGACCCTTGGTAAAGCACAGTATTAGGGTGGGAGTTACCCGATTTTCCAGGTGTTGTGTGTCTCAATTTCCTTTGGCTAGGAAAAGGAATTCCCTTCCCCCTTGTGCTTCCCAGGTGAGGCGATGCCTCGCCCTGCTTCAGCTCTCGCTGGTCGGGATGCACCCGCGGACCAGCGCCAACTGTCCGACACACCCCGGTGAGATGAACCCGGTACCTCAGTTGAAAATGCAGAAATCACCCGTCTTCTGTGCCGCTCACACTGGGAGCTGGAGGCTGGAGCTTCTCCTATTCGGCCATCCAAGTATACAGTTTTATGCTGCAAAGATACCATGTGGCATCAAGTGGCTCCAAAAGACCACATCACTGGTGGCTCCAATGAAGACTCAACCCCAATGCAGACCATTCCGATTCATATCCAAACTGCTGCAGTACCACCAACTGCCTCCTTCCATGAATCTCAGTCATTCACCTCATGGTCACGAGGGCTTCAAAGAGGAATCAAACAGACCTATGCCATCCTCATAAAGGGCATATTTACAATTTCTAATTCTAAAAGAAATGCTATTTATTTTACACACATATTATCCCAATCTTGTGTTTAAAACATTTAAAATTATAAACAAAATCATAATGAACAAGTGAAGGACACTATGCCGCGTCCTGGCTGCATGCAGATTCAAGTCCCTCTCCTGGGGGCTGCAGAAGAAGTAGGGAGACGTGACTTACATATCCAAAAGGCATAGAAATGGAAGAACATGAATAGGAAAGCCAGCCTCACCCTACTGGTGAGAAAACCTTTCCCGAACCAGAAGACTTTCAAGACAGACTTTAACAAAGACAGGGTCGTGACTCAGCAGGCAAGGGCTTAGGCAATGTTTTATTTCCATAATGAATTAATCTCCAAAAAGGACATTTTTCACACTGGTAAATACAGTTTAAATGTCTCAAGAACTTTGTCTCATCACCCAAACAAGACTACCAGTTCCTTAAAGCATGGAATACGATCCTTATTTTACATTCATTTTAGTATATACCTCACAGAGGTAGCACAGACCTCTGAGCATTTACCAACAAGATTAAAAAATAGCTAGACATCTAAATTCTAGGCTAGGTCCACAGCCTCAGGGCCACTCAATATATTCAGTTATAGGAATAACCCAAACTTCCAACAGGGTTTGTGGAAGCCATCACATGATGGGACTAGATCTCCCAGGGGCAAAGTGAACGAAAGCCAATGTTCATTTTGTCCCCCAACCTAGTGAACTGAAGAGCCTGACCCAGCCTGGTTCCTACTGGTTTGAACCTGATGGGTTGAGACTCCAGAAGGATAAGAATGTCTGAGAATCTTCTGCAGCCCCCCACACTGCAAAGTCCCATAACAGACCTCTCCTTGAAATCCTATTCACAGCAGAGATGTGGTCAGCACACACAGAAGGAGTGAGGCTGGGAATCCCAAGTTCTGACTCCTCGACTGCCAATGTTATGTTTCACACAACAGGCAAGTAAGGAATACAGTGAGCTTTTTAATCCAATCATTTGCAAATTAATAAGTAAGTAATATACCAACATAATATTTTGCTGTACAAGATGACAATCTTAAAAAGAATTTATACATGTATCATGTGGAACATTTTTATTCCTAATTTATACTTTGAAAGATATCTGACAATGTACAAAGAATACCCAGTTCTAGGTGATGACTGTTTTGTATAATCATTTATTTACAAAATTTCACCACATAATAGGAACTACCTTTAAAAAAAAATCAGCATTGGTCCTATAAAGGCCATTGGGATAAATTCTTAAGCCTACAAAAGACGCCTTAGTACTACTGCTCCCAGGCTCAATATCGTTAACTAAAATCTGACTCCAAGGCCCAGGCGTAGTTTCTAGTTCCAATTCTACAGTCATTCAAAAGCACATCTAACTAGATTGACAAAGGACAGTGGAGGACCCAAGCAGTCCTATCAACCTCTATAAGAGGTGTACATAAGCCTACTGCTCATACCCTTCTAGCCATACCACCCTTTATTTATAATGGGACACCAGGTCATCCCATTATGCTAAAACATGGTTGCTCTGGGAAAAAACAAGGCTTTCTCTAGACCAGCTGGACTGGTCAGGAGGGAGAGTAAAAAGTGGCTGTCGCTAGTGAAAAATGGTTTCATTTCTTCGAACTTTTTCCTTTTCCTTTTCTGGGCTCCTTATCTTTTTCTGGTTTTGAAGGCTTTGAAGGTTTTGTCTTTTTCTGTTAGGGGGAGGGAGAAAATAACAAAATAGTTAATAGCTGTGTTTATGAGTAAATGAAATAAGTTCATCTCTACAACAAATCTAATCTTTACCTGCAACTTACTTAAAGAAGGGAGGCTGCAAACATCGAGATCTTGAACTACTGCGACCCATGAAGCGCTTACTTTCAAGCAACAACTGCCCTACTTACAGCCTTTAAAAGCTGGCAGTAAAAACTGAGAGGGTATTTAGAATTTAGAACTAAGATCTGTTCCCCATGTAAGGCAGTTTCTTGGATTTAGAACAGAGGTATACTTAGAAAAGACAAAATAAGCAAGAGATAATTGACAAATAGGGTAATGTTTAGATGAAGAATTTCCTCTTCTTTTAGTTTCAGATTAGAGGTGTAAACACAGTCATTTTGTGAAAGCAGAAGAGAGGGAGAGAGGGAGACCACCCCTTAGGGTCTACATGAGCCACAGTGAAGAAGGCCACTATTCCTACTCCTGCATATAGAAAACAGAAATGAAAGGCAAGAAGCACCCACACCCAGCAAAGGACAGAGGAGGATCGGACGAGGTTCCTTGGCTCAACCAGCTGTAAACAGCAGGCTGATACCACAGTTGGCTTTCATCTTTCCCATCAAAAGACAAGAATATTTTGCTCTGAGAAACTTCTACAAAGCAGTTTAGTGGCTATAGCAAAACATACACAACAGAAGAAACTGTTTTGTTAAAAACATTTTTCTTGAAAGCATATACCAATGGCCAGATAAATAAAAATGGTACTTTTTCTAACAGAACATATGGCCATCAAAATCATGTCCTGTTTTCTTGCCGTTTGGCTCTTTGACTACTATAAGAAACTGTTTATAAAAATGAAATCTGTACCTTCTCCACCCTCAACCATAATGAACAAAAAAACTTAGAAGTATTTTCAATTTATTCTGCCATGTGCTGAAAAGGCCCTATTATTCACCAGGCAAGGAAAGATCATCTATTTTGAGGTTCTCCTGTCGGTGGCTTAAAATACTACCTTGATCATGGCATCAGTTTCTATAGCATCTTGGTCTTTCTCATCAGATTGAGAGTCATCTTCATTTAACTCTTCATTGTATTCCGAATCCAGGGATGGGCTTGTGCTGTGTCTAGATGCCTTTATAGCTTGAAGTGAATATGGAGTAAGGTGGGCTTCCTTATTGTAAGCTCTTGTGAAGGCTGCTTTCACCTACATGAAAGGAGTAGACGGAGTTTTTAAAAATATAAGTCCCAAACAATTATTTTAAACTCTGGAAGCCTAAAGAGACCCTGAGGCCCCCTTGCAACTGTTTGCAAAGTATTTATGTATATACATGTAAATCTAAGTATGTGTATTTTTCTATGGATAAGTTCCGTATTTTTCATAACATTCTTAACAGAGCCCATGACAAAAAAGACTCAAGGCCGGGCGGGCTCACACCTCTCCATGAGAATCTTGAACCCAGGAGGTGGAGGTTGCAGTGAGCTGAGATTGCGCCATTGCACTCCAAGTTGGGTGACAGAGTGAGATTCTGTCTAAATAAAAAAAGGATTTGGGAACTTTAGGCAAACAAACAAACAAAAGGTCACTTCAAGTCATCATGTTTACCTATTCAGCATTCTCCACATTTCTACAAAGTAGTAAGCAAAGTTAGTCAGTGAATCAGTAAATCAAAAAGGGGCTTGGCTGGGTGCAGTGGCTCATGCCTGTAATCCCAGCACTTCGCAAGGCCAAAGCAGGCAGATCACATAAGGCCAGGAGTTCGAGACCAGCCTGGCCAACACGGGGAAACCCTGTCTCTACTAAAAATACAAAACTTAGCCAGGCGTGATGGAGCACACCTGTAATCCCAGCTACTTGGGAGGCTGAGGCAGGGAATCGCTTGAACCTGAGAGGTGGAGGTTGCAGTAAGCCGAGATCGTACCACTGCCCTTCAGCTTGGGCAAAGGAGTGAGACTGTCTCCAAAAAAAAAAAGAAAAAGAAAAAAAAAAAAGTGAGGGGAGCTCATCATAAGATATAAGTTGGCCTTTAATTTCCACAAAACACAAGATACCTTTTCCATAATAATAGTAGTTACTCCAAAATACTACGAAACTTGAAAGTCTTACCTTCAAGCTTCTAATCATAATTCCTGAATTAGTCCATGAATTCTAACAATGGATGTCTGCTGTGAGAATTTACTGATAACCATAAAGTCGGGTCAAAATTCTGGAGAGGGCAAACTAGAGAGACTGAGTCTTCTAAACGCATTCATTACACAGGTGCAAGAGTTGGGTACTGGATGTTACATATTCATGATGTATCACTTTAGTTTTTTTGTGCTCATTATAAGAAAAGCGGGGATATATTATTACAGGGAAGATTATCCAACTGGAATAAATGCTGAATCCACAGATTAGGCAGACTAAGAAAAAGAAAATTTATACAAATCCTCAGCCAATAAACACATTTTATTTTTACGACCCATTACCACCAGAGCTCACAGCTCAACTTTTAATTCCCTAGGCTCATCCTCTCACCCTTTATAAAGAATATATTTATATTTGCTCCTCAAATTTCACTTCTTGTTTTTCCACTGAGCATAAAGCAAATATAAAAATACAAATTGTAAAGTCAAGTCCAGAAGTCTACTCTTAATACTGCATTCAAATAGTATCTATGGAAAATATAGGTCATAATAAGCAACAAGCATTTAAGGGGAAAAAGAAGTAAATCTTTTTATAAAGCATCTAAAACACCTCTGAAGTACTGTCAGTACAAACCTGGTATTAGAAAGTGATGGAGAACCAGTGAGTGACATGATTTACCTTGGGATCCAGCTTTGAAAAGGGACTAGGTTTGCCACCCCAGCTGCTAATTTCCATGATATTCTCAAAGTCTTCTTTCATCAAATAATATGTGTCCATAAGTGCAACAACATCCTGTACCCCGTCGACTCCTTGTGAGGTCAAGGGCTGTACAAGTGCATCCCTTAGATGTGACAGATAATCCATGTTTACAGTCCTTTTGCTGGAGTAAGTTCTGAAACCACAACAAAAAAGACATAGTCAACAGCAAAGTATCAACTTAAGTCATACTGTGCATACCAGCACTGAGTTAATCAGGCAGAGTTCAATCCGATTTCAATAATGCTGAATGGAACGCGTACTATATGACAGCCAGCTGGTGTAGTTTGGAAAGCCCAGCACCACAGCATGAGGGTAATGGGTACACATCACATGCCCAAAGGAAGTTTTCTACTTACCCACATCAGTGACTGAAAAACAAATGTGGACTCTACCCTACTCTTAAGGCCCAGGCAACAGAATGTTTCTTTGTGTTCATAAATATGACCCGTTCCAAGTTCCAAAATATTAAAAGCATCAGTAGAAGGCAATGAAATTCCCTATCTCAAGTGTGTGAATGTGTGTAACACCTTTTGGTCTCTGATTATAACATACAAAATCATATATGAATGTTTCCCTCACATTTCCTAATACTGCTACTCTGAAATCTTCAGTTCTAGAACTGGGTTTTCCCCAAATCTAAGAAAATTGCAGAGTGTTCCCACAAAATCAAAAAGTGATCCACACTGGCCAGAGGAAGGTTTAGGGAAACAGTCTCTGGTCTGCTAAGAACTAGAATGTTATCATAAAATGACTTTCTTTCTCTCTTAAATGTTGTCACTTCTTAAAGACAGAAAGCTACTGAACAAAATAATATTTCAAATGCCACCATCCTAAATCTTTCCAACCCAGCTGCCTCTATCTTCAAACCAGGCAATTATATGCATACATATTTTTATTTATTTATTTATGTATTTATTTATTTTCAGACGAAGTCTTGCTCTTGTTGCCCAGGCTGCAGTGCAGGGGCACAATTTCAGCTCACTGCAACCTCCGCCTTCTAGGTTCAGGAGGCTCTCCTGCCTTTAGCCTCCCGAGTAGCTGGGATTACAGGCGCCCGCTACCACACCCAGCTACTTTTTTTTGTATTTTTAGTAGAGACAGGGTTTCACCATGTTACCCAGGCTGGTCTCAAACTCCTGACAGGTGATCTGCCCGCCTTGGCCTCCCAAAGTGCTGGGATTACAGATGTAAGCCACTGCGCCCAGTCTGTATACATATTTTAAACAAGCAACCTCAAAAGCTGTTCGTATCAGAACCAGCATCAGAAGCAGAAAGAAATGATTCTTTACAAATTATCTATGGGTCCTGCTCCTGCCTTCAAGGAACTGAATATGTGAACCACAAGAAGCCACAGCTTTTCTCCTGATCAGAAATCTAGACTCACCCTCGCAACTATTACCTAGACAAAGAGTTTTTAAAACTCTCCTATTTCAATTTCATCCATTTCCTCTATATTGTCTTCCATAATTAAGCACGCTAGTACTTAAAGGAAGTAGTGTGGGTCCCTGAACCACAGTACCCCCAAAAATCATGAAACCATTTCCAAAATTGTTCTCCTACGATGTTTACAGTATCATTTTCTAGTAGACTCACAGAAAAGTCAAAGATGCCATTTAGGGTACCTAAAGCAAGGGTTCTTAACCTCAGGAATCTGTAATTCCCCAAAAGTGTTTTCTTTGTGGATCTATGCATTGTCGGGGGAATAAAAATCAAAGCATTCAGATTCTCAAAAGCACCTATGACCCCCAAAAAGGTTACGAACCAATAATAAGATCACACTTGCATTTTTTAAAGAAGAGAAACAGACCTACAAAAAAGTTCAGTGACTTGATCAGGGTTAAAAAGTAGGGAGGTCTTAATTTACTTTACAAATTGTGAATTCACTATAATGCAGAGATCGCACTACTGCATTCCAGCCTGGGTGACAGAGTGTGACCCTGTCTCAAAAAAGAAGAAGAATCCATAATATTTATGTGTATGCACATTTTCCAAGTTTCTAAAGTTCAACAAAATTGTACCAAATGCAAGTATTTTTGAACTTCCTTAAACTTTTCCAAGCACATTCGTTTTCAGTGATGTGAGCAGCCTCCTCCTGTTGCATGCTAAACTGTTATTTCCAATCCCACATGACTAGGTCAGTTTACTACTAGAGAAAATTGGTAAAAAACAGTTTGTTTCTTTAAATAGTTCAATTATTTTCCGATTAATTATTCTGAAGCTGGGAAGCTATTCCCACTAGTAATAGACATAATAACAATAACAGTGCCATCTCAGACTTCTGTAGTCTTTAAAATTTTAAATTATGACATCTACCATTTTATTCTCCAAAGTATCCTTTTAAGTGGTAAAACAAGAGTTATACTGATTATACATGATAAAACTCAGCCCATAAAATATAAGGAACTTATCCAGGATCATTCATCTAGTTAGCAATAAAATAAAAACTAAAACACAAATCTTTTGACTCACATGATTGTTACTGGATAAAGGCCAAATACATCAAATCGATAAAATACCCGAAACAGAGTAATCCCACCTACCTGAGACTCATATGCAAGGCCAGGTCCTGAACAATACGATCGTGTTTGCCTGTAGACGAGTGCTTCCCCAGCCAGCTCGGGAAGGTGGGAAACTGGGTCATGAACCCTCTCATCAACTCTCCAGGAAGAACACTGGCATAAATGGCCTGAAAAAAATCAATTGCAGTCCAGAATTTATGTTCGGTACAAAGTTACTTCCTTAACAGTCATTGGCTTCCAAACAGTCTATGGAAGATAAAGCAACACTGTCCCAAATACCTACCTACAGGCCAGTCAGATGCTTTCTCTAACTCTCATCTGTTGGTACGGGAAACTTCTCCCAAAGAAAACAACAGACTGTGGTACACACCTTGATCCTACGTGTTATGGCTCACAGGGAGATCATCTCGCCAACTCAGCCTCCTCAAGCAACTAATCTCAACAGACCAGTTACCTCACAACGTCACAGCAAATAATTACTTAAGAGGGATATGATGGTCTTTAACATAAATGATTGACAGCATAGGTAGATTAAAGCATAGAAAGACGAATGATTAGAGTCCATTAAACTGGCACTTGAGAAAAGTTTTTTAAAAATGTATCCTTAGATGTCTTCTATGTCTAGTGTGTTCACTTTCTTAAAGACTGGAATTATAGTCTACATAAATTTTGTATACTACTTATTCTAGTAATTCCCTCACAAGCACTTTTTCCTATTAGACAATTTTTGCAAATAGTTTTAAAGGCTATAAATACTTCCTCAAGAGAATTCATCATCATCATTCTCCTGCTGCTAGACCTGGAGATTTTCTCTAACTTTTTGTTATCAGAACACTTTTGGAAGTATTTTTGTACATTAAGGTTTTCCTGTGTTAAAACATTATGCCTTTGAGGTACAATTATTAAGTAAACAAAACTAAACACATAAAATATAAAAGAAAAGATTTTGGGCCAGGTGCAGTGGCTCATGCCAGTAACCCCAGCACTTTGGGAGATGGGCAGACAACTTGCACCCAGGAGTTCAAGACCAGTCCGGCCAACATGGTGAAACCCCGCCTCAACAAAAATAACAAAAATTAGCTGGCATGGTGGCGCACACCTATAGTCCCAGCTACTTGCAGGGCTGAGGCGGGAGGATCGCTTGAGCCCAGGAGGTCAGGGCTGCAGTCAGCCGTGATCACACCACTGCACTGCAGTCTAGGTGACAGAGTGAGACCTTGTCTCAAAAATAAAAATAAAAAGTTCTGTGTCTCCAGAATGAAATTTTGTTTCTTGTTTTCAAGCAATGTGTGGGTAGAATCAAAAGAAGCATTAGGCCTTCTGGAAGTGTCTTGCTTATTTTATTACTCAGGCCAGTAATCCTGTATAACTATACAAAAGTCAAAAAGAACAAATAATTCTCTTAATTACAAATGTCTACCAAATTCTGTTTTGAGTTAAAGATCTCAACCTAAATACAGTACCCAATATAAAACTGCTTTTTTAGCAAGGAAGACGAAAATCTGAATGAATGCCTCAGAGATGCGGCTGCTGGCCTGCCCTAGCTGCACTGCTTCTAGGAGCCGCTACTCAGTGACCACCTGGGAGAGCCAAGAGTGACCAAAAATAAAAAAACAAGGATTCTTAAGTTAAAACGCAGCAAATAAAACTTCTGATTCACATCTTACAACCAAAATCTAACATTCCTATTTCTATGTATCCATTTACATTAAAATTTTTTGAAATATAGATAAATAAGGCCAGATTGGGCTGAGCGCAGTGGCTCATGCCTGTAATCCCAGCACTTTGGGAGGTCGAGGCAGGCAGATCACAAGGTCAGGAGATCGAGACCATCCTGGCTAACACGGTGAAACCCCGTCGATACCAAAAATACAAAAAATTAGCTAGGCATGGCGGCGGGCGCCTGTAGTCTCAGCTCCTCAGGAGGCTGAAGCACAAGAATGGCATGAACCCGGGAGGTGGAGCTTGTAGTGAACTGAGATCGCACCCCTGCACTCCAGCCTGGGCAACAGAGAGAGACTCTGTCTCAAAAAAAAAAAAATAAAGAAAAGAAAAGAAAAGAAAGAAGAGAAAGAAGAGAAAGAGAAAGAAAGAAAGAAAGGGAGGGAGGGAGGGAGGGAGGAAGGAAGGAAGGAAGGAAGGAAGGAAAAGAAAGAAAGAAAGAAAGAAAAATAAGGCCAGATTAAGAAGCAGACAATAGTTACCACAGAGTATTATAATCTGTAACAGACTGTATTTTTGCCACAAGAGCCATAACATTTATCTGGTATTTAAAATAACTACAGGATTAGCTGGGTATGGTGGCGGGCACCTGTAGTCCCAGCTACTCAGGAGGCTGAGGCAGGAGAATCTCTTGAACCCGGGAGGCAGAGCTTGCAGTGAGCCAAGATCGCACCACTGCACTCCAGCCTGGCGACAGAGCAAGACTCGATCTCAAAAATAAAGTAAACAAAAATAAAATAAGTAAAGGAGCTAAAAGCTATTTAGTTCTCTTTTCAGTAAAGCAGAGTCTGCACTTTAGGGAGAGCTCTCTGCTCACCTGCGTAGGCAGAAGACTCCAGTTTTGCTTACTCCGGATCTGGCTGTCCACTAAGTCACCATCACATATGCTGTCTGCTGCTCTGCTTAAAAGCATCAAGTGCTTTTTCATGTCGCCCCTGCAGGAAAGAATCAGTCTGGATTATCTCACTCTCCACACCCCAGGTCCCTCCTTCACGGTGCTGGGAGGATATTAACCATGCCTCTCACCAGCTCTGGACACTCACCCTGCTGCTACAGGCTTCACATGTATGTAATTTTCCTGGACAAAGAGGGGTGCTATTGAATAATCATGAAAAAAGAGATCTGACTTGTCCATAAGTGACATGTGAGCAGTCTCCTCTCCAGCTGCAAACACCTTCCGGGCAACATCAAATGGGCCCTGAAAAAAAAGAGGGACACACCTATTAGAATGGCCAAAATTCAAAACATTAACATCACCAAATGCTAACGAGGATACGGAACAAGAGGAACTCCATTCATTGCTGGTGGGAATGCAAAACTGTACCGTTTGGTAGTTTCTTACAAAATTAAACATACTCTTACCATACGATCCAGCAACCACGCTTCTTGGTATTCACCCAAGTGAATTAAAAACTACGTTCACACAAAAACCTGCACATGGATGTTTATGAGCAGTTTTATTTATAATTACCAAAAGCTGGGAGCAACCAAGATGTCCTTTTAGTAGGTGAATAAACAATTTAACTGTGGTACATTCACACAATGTAATATTATTCAACAATAAAAAGAAGTGAGCTATCAAGCCATGAGAAGACATGGGGGGGCTGGGCATGGTGGCTCACCCCTGTAATCCCAGCACTTTGGGAGGCTGAGGTGGGCAGATCACTTGAGGTCAGGAGTTCGAGACCAGCCTGGCCAACATAGTAAAACCTCGTCTCTACTAAAAATAAAAAATTGGCCAGGTGTGGTGGCAGGTGCCTGTAATCCCAGCTACTCAGGAGCCTGAGACAAGAGAATCACATGAACCCGGGAGGCGGAGGCTACAGTGAGCCAAGATCACACCATTGTACTCCAGCCTGGGTAACAAAGAGAGACTCCGACTCAAAAAAAAAAAAAAGTCATGGAAGAACCCTCTATGCTACTACTAAGTGGAAGAAGCCAATTGGAAAAGTCCACCTACTACATGATTTCAACTATACCACATTCTGGAAAAGGCAAAACTACAGACACAGTAAAAGGATCAGTGGTTGCCAGGGGTTGTAGGGAGGAGAGAGGAAAGGAAGAATGAACAGGCAGAGCACAATTTTCAGGACAGTGAAACTATTCTGTATGATACTATAATGGTGAATACATGTCATTATACATTTGTCAAAACCATACAATGTACACCACCAAGAGGGAATGCTAATGTAAACTATGGACTCTGGGTGATAATGAGGTATCACTGTAGGTTCATCGATTATAACAGATATACCACTGTGGTAGGGGACGCTGGCAGTGGGAGAGGCTGTGCGTGTGAGGGGGACACGAAGTATATGAGAACTCTCTGTACCTTCCACTCAATTTTGAATCCATAGGCCAGGTGTGGATCACCATGTTGGCCAGGCTGGTCTCAAACTCCTGAGCCTAAACTGCTCTAAAAAATAAAGCATATAGGCCAGACGTGGTGGCTCACACCTGTAATCCCAGCACCTTGGGGGCCACAGCAGGAGGATCGCTTGAGGCCAGGAATTCAAGACCAGTCGGGGAAACACAGCAAGACCTTGTCTCTACCAAAAATTTTGAAAATTTAAATAAATAATAAAGTGTATTAACTTTTTTAGAACCTGCTTAATCATTGTTCTAACTATAAATTCTGATTAGCAACTAGGTAAAATACAACACAGAGGTAACTGACACATACCTCTAGTTTCAGAGAGGTCATTAAACCATTTGACATGGATTATTCTGAACAGTGCAAAACCACTCCAAACATGAAAGTCAAACATAAGGAACTCTGGAAAAGCCATTTTATAATTGCTGAAGCATGAGTATAATTTAAAATTTATCCCTTTCTCAAAATTTATAATAGACACTGACAATCTTTGAGAAAAAATTCATTTGAATTAGAAACACTTTTAGCAGCTGTCTGTACTTCTTACTATATATCCCTGGATTCCACAGGCATATCAAGGAACTATAATAACTATTTCTATCAAGCTACCTACAGAACAAGAAGTGTTTTGGCTTAAGAAAGTAACTAAGACAAGGAAATTTATTTTACCATTTTGATATCCTTTTTGGCTCTGTGAGAATCAGCTTTGGCCTGGTCATAGGTTAATGCTTTACTTCGTGCACACCACATACTCAGATTATGTAAAACCTAAAAGAATCACAAATAAGACAACGTCAAGATAGGAAAATCCTGTTGCTCCCCACCCCTACAAGATTGAAAGCATTACCTAAAAATAATCAACAACTGTTACATAATATATATTTAATTTACCTGTCTGATATCTTGATTGGCTCCCAAAATTATTTCATTCATTGCTGGAGGGGGAATCTTTAAACCTTCTTTAAATGCAATAGACATCATAGCACCCTGAAATTGACAAGGGAGGAGTCCTCAATGATTTTAACTCATATAATCAGATATTTTTAAAATATTTATCAGGTACTTTTAAAAACTGACCCTTAAATAAATAGGCTAGTGTAATGGGAAAAAAATTTCCATCATCATACCTTAATCTGTTCAACCCGAGGTCTTTGAAAACGAAGATCAAAACAATAATGAACCAGAGAGCGAATCTTGGGATGATTTCTATCATTGCACATACAAATAATGGGAATTTTAGTATGTTTTATCAGGCCAATTAATTCCTGAAAGGCAAGTTAGCAACACAAAAATAATTATTTTTAAAATGACAAATATCACACAAGGTAATTTTGGTTCTAAAAATCTCCTCAGCGACATGCCTTGACTGCCATGAGAGAATGACAATGTTTTAAAAATCTAAATTATCAATAGTGAAACTGCAAAAATACAGCACTTGAATTACCTGAATTCCTCCCCTATCCTCATTGCCTGCCATGCCATCTACTTCATCCATGATGAGAGCATGTTTCGTGCTTACTGAAGAGGCTGCTCCATCTGACCCAGGTTGAGGAGCAATGGGATGAGACAAAAACAAAATAACAATTGCTCAAAAACTGCTGCTCTGTAGAAAATTATGTAACAGATATTAAACTTCAAAAGCTACAAGAATATGCAGCACTGGGCTACAGAGTGTTGCTAAACAAAAAAAAAGAATATGCAGCAAAGAGAAACTCTCCCTGCCACCCCTTCCCCTGCAGACCCCAATTCCCTTCCCAGAGACAAACAATAGTCTCTTACACGTCCTTTAAGAGATATTCTACACATATGTGCATAAAAATATACAACTGAGGATTTTTTTCTTTTTCTTTTTTTGAGATGGAGTTCCGCTCATTGCCCAAGCTGGAGTGCAATGGCGCGATATTGGCTCACTGCAACCTCTGCCTCCCGGGTTCAAGCGATTATCTTGCCTCAGCCTCCCGAGTAGCTGAGATTACAGGTGCACGCCAACACACACGGCTAATTTCTGTAGTTTTAGTAGAGACGGGTTTTCACCATGTTGACCAGGCTGGTCTCGAACTCCTGACCTCAGGTGATCCATCCACCTCGGCCTCCTAAAGTACTGGTATTACAGGCGTGAGCCAACATGCCCGGCCAGTTTTGTCATTTTATGTATTTTGGTGATTCATTCTTTATCTATAGATATAGAACACTTCATTTTTTAAGGCAATTTAATATTCCATCCTACACTTGTACTGCACTTTACTTAATCACCATTAATGAAATATATAGGATGCTTCCAAGCTTTTTTCTATTATGTCATACTAAATGACTATCCTTATCTATATGGCATATATATGCCAGTTTGCACATATATAAGTAAAATAATAGCTAAATTCCAGCAATTGGAATTTCTGGGCTAACGGGTATGTGTACTTTGAGAAATACTGCCGGACTGCTCTCCAGAGTAGTACCAATCTACCCTCCCAACAGCCATGTCTAAGAGTGACATTTCCTGAGCAAATTCTTTTGAACAATGTGAAGGCACCAAGAATTCAGGTGACAAAACAACACACCATAGATGATTCTAAACAGGCACTGTGCGGTCCTTAACTTGAGCATCTTATTTTCCATGAACTTTGGCCATAGAGGACCACTAGCTACAACCTGAAACACAGTGGGCATTTGCACACTGTCTTCTCTTCTACTACCTTTGCCTGCAATGACCTCTTCCACCTCCAAATGGTTTTATTTCTCATTCTTTGAGGTCTTTCAAAACAATTATCACCCCTTTACTCAATGCCCCAAGCATAATTACTTCTTCATCTGCTGGCCTTATTACCTCATTGTGTATTACATACCTTATTACATACATACACAGAGTGAGGTTAATAAGGTAATGAAGTAATAAGTCACACTGTATTACATACAGTTTATTTTCTCTCTTTACAGGATTCACCTGTGAATCCTCTAAAATCATATGAAAAATGCATTAAAATGTGCATGTACACATTTTTATCACATTCTCAGAAACCTCCAAGACTTACGAAAGGGTAAGTACTACCCCATAAGAATGATGTCAGAGGACTTTCTTATTCTCTTGTTAGCCCCAGAATTTAGTAGGGTGTTTGGCACATAACCTGTGTTCAATACTGGTTACTGAACATTGAAATGAACATATTTTTCTTATATCACAACAGCAGCAGTTCAAAAAGCCACATACTTGAATAAAAGCCTTTGATGCTGGTATTGCTCAGTGACTCAGCAACAATCGCCTTCAAACTGCTCTTACTCCGGGTGTCACTTGCATTCAGTTCCACGTAGCTGTATCCCAATTCCTAATCAAAATATTGGAAACCACTGATGGCACAATACGAATTACCTCCACCACCCCCGCCAAGAAAGGCCAGTTAAGAAAGACAGAAGGTACAAACATCACATAAAAAACCATAGGTAAAAATATAAAGTATGATACTAACAGACAATGAGATTAACTCTAGTATGCCTTACAATATTAGACATTTTTAGAATATCATATACATATATATAACATACACATATAAATACTAATAAATTTGGTCTTAGAACTTCAGCTGACAAATCACTAATCTGGAAGGGTATATTCAAACAAGCAATTTTACTAAATTTACTTCTTAGAGTCCTAAAAAAAGAATTAAATATAATAATCCCAACAATTCAGTATCAGACACAGAATTAATCTATTATAAGATACCGGCCAGGTGTATTGGCTCACACCTGCAATTCCAGCACTTTTGGGAGGCCAAAGCGGATGGATCACTTGTTGTTAGGAGTTTGAGACCAGCTTGGCCAACATGGTGAAACCCCATCTCGACTACAAATACAAAAAATTAGCTGGGTGTGGTGGCGCGTGCCTGTAGTCTCAGCTACTCGAGAGGCTGAGGCACGAGAATCACTTGAACCTGGGAGGCAGAAGTTACACTGAACCGAGATCGTGCCACTGCACTCCAGCCTGGACGGCAGAGTAAAACTGTGTCCCAAAACAAAAAAATAAAATAAGATACCAAAAAGTAATCCTGAGATAACTGATAAAGTTAAATCATTCTTTGTCACGACACTATCCCACTAAACAATTTTCCTCTGAAATCAGGAAAATTCAAGTTATTCTGATTCATTTCCCAAAACTGATCAGCTTATGCCTTAATTTGTAAAAAAATATAATGATAATAATAAAGGGAGAAACAGAGTTGTGTTCACAATTGTAGGGACTAGGGAAAAAATATTGTTTTGCTTTTTCATTAATGTTTATAAATACAGTGAAAACAGATAAAATTTTATTTAAATTTTATGCAGATGCATACAACAAATACCAAAAGAAACCACAAGCTGATGCAGCAGAGGATTGAGAAATCCAGCAATAAATTTCTAATCTGGTATTTCATCATTCTGATACCAACACGTGAACTCTGATCTGCTCTAGCGCCTAAGCAAGTCAAGCTCTCCCGTTGTCTACAGGGATTCAGCGGCAACAGAGACAACAGGAACAAAGGCAGGACCACACAGTGCTGAAGAGTAGAACCCTGAGTCGCGCTACGTGGGTGAAAACTGGGCCTCCACCCTCCTCCCTAAGCCTATTTCATTTCACACGTGTGGATGATGACAGTACAGATAATTATTCAGTACATAGAATTATTCAAGGGCATTAAGATATTTGCATCTTTCAGAGTCTAGAATACATGTTTTTGTTATCTATAACACACCCACGTGCTGAGCACGCTGCCTCGCTCATCGGTAAGTATTGCCTAGTACTTTAATTACCAATATTTTAAAAGGATTAAAATTACAAACATCACCAGAACCAAAACAGGTTCTAAAGGTTTTATTTTAGACAAATAAACACAGTTTATATACAGACACCACACACACACACACACAGGCACACATGTGGGTACACACTTTTATCTCCTAGCCATGACCACTCGAGGTTATCTGTCCAACCACACTGCGACAAAGCACCCACCTGACACACCAGGGAAGCTGTGGTGGTTTTGCCAACACCAGGAGGGCCTGACAGCAACGCTGCTTTAAAACTAGAGCCATCATCTTTGCCGGAAAATTTACCAAACTTTGCTGCTAGGAAAAAAGAAGTTCCAGAGTGTTAACCTATATCACCTAACAGAAATTCAGGCATGGCGCAGGGATAGTTGTGCCTAAACTTCGCATAGACAGCCATCCTCCAGTTTAGTTCTAAATTCGCAGAATATTTTCTACAAAACATAAACAAGTTTCCAGAGCATTCAGTGAAATTCTACTTCCTAGCTCACCTCCACCCAAAATAAAAAACTAAAACTAACTCACTTTAAAACTCTTGATTTGAAATAATAATTGTACGAGTTTCCTTTCCTGTGAACACACAGGCCATGGAGCACGCTGCCGGGGCTCGATCCCGACTCCATCCATCCTCATGCCACCTCTCACCAGCCACGGTGAGTTAAAAGTGACTTAGCCCCTGTGACTGCCTCCTCCTTTGTTAGACAAGGAGAACAACAGTAAAGTTGCTACTAAGGATGTTGTGAGGACGGAATGGCTGAGCACAGAGCCATGCATGCTTCACTAAATGTTAACAAGCATAGTAGCTACATGGTCACAAGAAAAAAAACTGACTTGAAGATGCTGTGTCTGCAACTATCTTGTGCCCCTCAACACTAGACCAGCACTCTTCCTCCCCTCACCACGTGAGCACCTGGCACATATATCAGGCTCAACTCATACTCAATAACTGACAGAGACAATGGTTTTAAACCTACTGCCAGCAGGCATGCAGACAGGGACTACAGTTCACCTGAAGCTTTAAAACAGTCTTCTCAGCCAGGCACGGTGGCTCATGCCTATAATCTCAGCATTTGGGGAGGCAGAGGCAGGTGGATTACATGGTCAGGGGTTCAAGACCAGCCTGGCCAGCATGGTGAAACCCCAACTCTACTAAAAATACAAAAAATTAGCCGGGCATGGTGGTGTGTACCTGTAGCCCCAGGTACTCAGCCTCCTGAACCCAAGCGGCAGAGGTTGCAGTGAGCCTAGATCGCGCCACTGCACTCCAGCCTAGGCAATAGAGCGAGACTGTCTCAAAAAAAAAAAAGTCTTCTCTGGGCACATGAAATGCCTGTCTCTCTTTTAAGGGAGATTTTATTAAGTTTCAGAATGAAAAAATGATTTAACTTAAATTGAGTCCTATATCATTACAATATATTATCTGTTTAAATAAACAGGCATCATCAGCAACGGTGATCGGCATCTAGTCATCACTGGTCTATGTTGACAACACTACTAAAACATTTGTGATCTCAAACCTCCGTTAAGAAATACTGTGGATATTAAATACATACTGGAGCTTTTCACTCTCCCCAACAAATACATCACAAACAAGGACAGAAACTACAGAAGCACAGGCCTATCAGGCCTGCCAGAGCAAATCGTGCTTGCTACTGGGAGTTGAGGCTGACTGCTCTGCACGCATGCCTCCGTTATTTATTCACACCTTTCCTCCTAGTGCCCTTGCCACTCAGGGGTCTTACTGTCACATGGCTTCAGACCTTGGGACACATACTCTTTCCTACCCAACACTCACCCCTCCCTCCCTTCGCCTAGCTACCTCCTACTTTGTTTCCAAGTCTTAGCTTAGCCATCCCTTCCTCCAGGATGGGAGGACACACACCCAGGCCCTGACCACACATCTTCATCCTCACAGCACCCTGGACTTACCCCTCTAGCAGTACTTGGCACAATACATTTTAATTGCTGGTTCAGATATGCCTCCCCCACTGCCTGTGAGCTCCTGAGAGGGACTGTTTTGTTCACAACACCACCAGCAGGGTCTAGTACTGCACCTGGGTTCAGATCAAGCTCTTAGTAAATGCTTGCTGACAGATGAATGAACCGTTAGATTTTCTTATATATGTGCCACTGAGCAATCACATGTTGATATACACACACACAAAAATGAGTGAGGTTGTAAAATCACCGTGTTTTTTATCTTCAGAAGAACTCTTGTGCCAGTTTCGGAGCCAGCGTAGGAGTTTGTTGGCACAGCTCTGGTCACCTTGCTGTCCAATTACGGTCTTGAGCGAGGTTGGCTTATATTTATCCACCCAGAGCAAATTTTCCACTTTGTTTTCACTGCTGTCATCAGCCAAATTCCTAGCCTTGCTGTCACCACTTGTTTCCTCGGCCACCTGCTCCTTGAAATCCAGGCCTCTCCAAAACACATCTGTTTCCTTTTTTATTGTCTTTGCCAAACTGTCCCTTTTGGAAGTCGGCTTGCTCTTTTTAGATTCCGATTCCTTTTTAGATGGACTAATTTTTCTTTTGCCTTGAACATTTTTTTGGGGTGTTCTCTCCAGTTTGGACTCTTTCTTCATCTTAAAAAGCAGAAAAGTGAGGAAAGAAGAAACCTGATGAAACATACAGAATTTCTATCCTGCTAAACATACTACAGAGAGCAATCAGAGATATCCAAGTGGGCTATTCAGCCTGGGCTGGTCTTGTCATGACAGACTTTCCTGTTTGTGGAAATCACCACCTTCTAAACTATAAAAATTAACAAACACACCAGAAACCACCAAACGCAATTTCTAAAAGTGAGAACATGTTGGATTTTAAAAGTAATAAGTACTCCAATTTTAGTTTGAAAAAAACAAGGTATAGTGTTGAGATTTTTGTTTCAAAGTTTCCTAATTAAAAGTTAATGCCTCTACAAAAACTTGTACACAAATGTTGTTCACAACCATATTATAGCTAAAAGATGGAAACAATCCAAATGGCCATCAACTGAAAAAGAAACAAAATAGGGTGTCTCCACACCATGAAATATTATTTACCCATAACAAGGAGTGAAGTACTGATACATGCTACAACCCAGGTCAACCTTTAAACCGCTATGCTAATTGAAAGAAGCCAGACACAAAATGCCGTATATTCTAATGTCTCCATTTACACATGAAATGTCCAGAATAGGAAAATCCATAGAGACAAAGCAGAGCTGTGATTGCCGGGGGTGGATAGAATGAGTGGCTGCTAATGGGTACAGGGTTTCTTTTTGGTGTGATGAAAATGTTCTGGAATTACACAGTGCTGATGGTTGCATACTCTGTTAATATACTAAAAACCACTGATTTGTATGCTTTGTAAGGGTGGATTTTATAGTATGTAATATCTCAATTTTAAAAAAAATTATTGCCTCTTTAGCAGCAGATGCTAAAATTAGTGGATGAATATTTAAGGACAAGCAGTATATAAGCATAGTTTTAAAGTACCTCCCTCTCCTGCCAAGGTAGTTATCAACTACAAAGGAAAAAATAGTCACTTTACTAGTGAAGAAACCCAGCACTAGTTTCAGTGAGATGCTGAATCATCTTAACCAAATAATCAAGGTTATCCTCACTAATAAGAAGACATATTGACATCCTGTACCTATGAAAGGATGCACTGAGGACACAAGATCACATCTATGGTGTTCTTAGAAACAAAGGCATAACCTCAATCTAATCATGAGAAAACATCACAGATCCAAACTGAGAGACATTCCACAAAACTGACCAGTACTCATTTTAAAAGTGTCAAGGTTGTAAGAAGACAAGGAAAGACTGAAGAAATGTCATCGACTGGAGAAGACTAAGACACAACTAAATGCAGTGTGGAGCCTGGAACAGAAGAACTACTACAGGGGAAAATGTAAGGTTCGAATAATATGTAGAGAGTAGTTAACAACAGGGCATCGATGTTAATTTCCTGGTTTTTATAACTATGCTATGGTTATGCAATCGAAATCATTCCCTAGATTTCTCTAACCAGAATAACCTGGGTGGACTATCTTGCCATTTAGGTGACAGAGCTGGGGACATTAAAATCTTGGAATGCTGGCAATCCTGTGTCCTGTGTGTACAAATGGATGGTCTACAGTGGGAATGAATGAGGCTAACTAGGAGAAACTGAGAGACAGAAACTGAAGGGGTCCTCAAAGCTTTGTAGTCTGTGGATCCAGTAGTTCCTAGACCAGATCCTCCCCGCCCATAGTTTAGTTATGTGAGCCAACATTTTTCCTTTTGCAAAAGCTAATACAGGCTAGGTGTCTGCACAACTTAAAAAATCCTAATACAGTTCTAATTGAAAACAAATTTATCATGCTGATACCTATTAACATATCCTTTAAGGAACTCCTAAACAATAACCTTTGCATAAAGTCAACGTGAGAATACGGCTGGGCACAATGGCTCACACCTATAATCCCAGCACTTTGGGAGGCTGAGGTGGGAGAATCACTTGAGGTCAGGAGTTCAAGACCAGCCTGGCCAATATAGTGAAACTCCGTTGCTATTAAAAATATAAAAATAAGTGGGCGTGGTGGCAGGTCCCAGCTACTCAGGAGGCCGAGGCAGGAGAATCGCTTGAACCCAGGAGACAGAAGTTGCGGTGAGCCGAGATCACACCACTGCACTTCCAACCTGAGGGACAGAGCTAGACTGTGTCTCAAAAAATTAAAAACTAGTAATAATAATAATAATAGGAAAATTAGGAAAGTTTGATAAGTAGATAGGTTATACGCAATATACTGTCCTTTCTCTACTCATATTCCCTGACAAAGATAAGGAAAAACAACAAACTACACATCTTAAAGCAGAGTCCTCCAGCTCAAAAGGAACTAAGGTGGTTCATTTGTGGTAGACAGGAATGTTAACCTTTCAGCCAACAAGCCTGTATCCACCCAAGACATAAGTCTATGAAATTAAAAAGTTACTATACACCAACTTAAATAAATCACATTCATTTTATACAAACCTCAGTTTCAACTGCTATTTCATACTTGGATTTCTTGCCTGGCATAGTTCGAATCAGATTCAACAGGCCATCTTCATCAATAATTTTTGTCCCCAAGGCTGCGGCCTGTTGATTAAAAATGCAAATCATCAAAACTGCATCCTACCATTCCTTTCTGTTAAAAAAAAAAAAAATTCTAGGGCCTATTAGTAGGTGAAAAACCACATTTGTAAATTAGATAACACTGGAATTAAAAAAGAAAAACAAAAAATAGCACATTCATTGAAAAGGTAACATTGAAAAGAAAGAAAATAACAGATACATTCCCTAAGCGTAGCAGGTTGGCACAGGAAGTGGTCCATTACACTTTTGTGGACTGCTTTACCTTTCCTCCCCTAGGAAGGGGCAATGCCACTAGGGCCTAAGACCAGCTCTTCATACCTTCTCCCATATTGAATACATATGGCAGACATTTCCCCCACCTTTTTCCCTGCTGATGGAACTCCAATGTGTCCTTCTCCAAGTGATGAATTATGACTGGTCTAAGGCAACCAGAAACGTCTTGGTTCTTCCCAACCTCCCATACAGCTCTGAGTGGCCAGGTGACAGCTCTGGCCAATGAGACTTACGTGAAATTCTATAAGAGGTGTTTCTGGGAGAACTCTTGTCAGGCCAGTCACAGCTCTTATGACATCCTGCCACTGTTCCCTTTTCCTACCTTGAATAAGAACTTAAATGCCTCGAGCTGCAGCTACCTTGCAACCACAAGGCAACATTCATGAGGACAAAAGCTAACACAATAAGGACAAAGGGAGAAACCACATCACTGAGATGCTGAACTATCCCAGCAATACCTCCAGAATTCTTGTGGGAAAAATAAGCAGATGATTGTTTAAGCCACGGTTAATCAGGTATTCTGTTGTTTGTAGCTAACACAATCCTACCCAGGAGGCCGCTGATTCTTTTTCTAAAAGCACCAATTTAAAAAAAAACTAAGATGTTGTATGCGGTGGCATACATAGGAATACTTCGGACTGGAAGAAAAAGAAAACTGCATTTGTTTCTATCTTCAAAAATAAAAAAAGACTTAAACTTAAATACACTAAAAAAAAATCAAGTAAACAGGAACTATGCCTTCCATTGGAAAACCAAAATCCTGGTGTCAGAGCCAATAACACTTCTGTGGAGAAGAAATAATGTAGGCAAGAAATTATTTTTCTATTTCTTTCCTTCATTTAACTCTGAGTAAAGGGCAAATCACATCAAGAGTGTGCCAAGGCAGGCAGGAGGTGTCATGGTGTTGAGAACACAGCAGTACCCACCTTATCACTCTTGGACTGTCCACTATCACGACCCATGACAAGGTAATTTGTTTTCTTGCTGACATTTCCTGTCACTTTTCCCCCATAACGTTCAATTAGAGACTTGGCCTCATCTCGTTCAATAGACTCCAGCACGCCTGTGATTACAAATATAAGGCCTTCCAAGCAATTTTCAGCTCCCTAAAAACCAAAATGTTCAAGCAGAGAGGAAATTACATGGTAGCTTTCCAAAGAAACATTTGTCATCGAAACTGCAGGAAGTTGATTTTTCTCATTTCACATCATAAATAACCTTGGCATGGAAAGTTTGCTGGAAATTTACAGCAAATAAGCACCACCTGAAATTAGATCCTAAGAAATTTTGATATGGCTAACATTTAATAAACTTACAAAACAAGCAGTGAAAAACATACATCCAACACTGTTAGCAAAGCTATTAAAATTACCCATTCATACTATTTTCCATTATGCCCTCTTCATATCTAAACCACTAGTTAACGTGCATAACTGTAAATAAACAACCAAATGCAATCCATCTATAGAAACTCTTGCTATTCAGGAAACTGCTTGTTCTTAAGAACTTTCCCAACAAGAATTAATAGAAGCAGGCATACTCCTATCATTTTGATGTTTCTGTTAATGTTTCCAAACAATGCACTTTAAAATCAGAATCACTTATCATTTGCATACACTTCTGATGCTTTTCATCACATTAGTATTCAGAAATGAGGTATAATTCCCCAATCCCTGCGTGCAAGAGCTAAGAAGGATCTTAACTGTCAGTTGAAGGGAGTTCTCCCCGAACTCATGGATTGTACAAGAACAAACTGCTGTTGGGTTTGATGGTCTGCCAATGGATTGTGGTGTGGCATATCTGAAGGCTACTGAATGCAACTTATAATGCTTAACAAAAATATTTACTCTTTCAGAGGAAAAAAGGAAGAAAACAGGCAACTCTTGCTATTGTTAAAAAGGGAAAGTTTTGATTCTAAAAAGCTAAGCGAGTGTGAGCTCGTGCCCTCCTCTCTGCTCATTACTCTATGACAGTAAATCTAGCAACCTGCTAGTAACTTAAAGGCAAGATCATATTATCTCTGGATTGGAAAGATAACTCTCATAATGTGTAATATAAAATAAGAGATACTTGCCAAAGAGAGCTGGATGGAAAAGACATTAAATCTTAATTGGAACTATGTATAGTTATATATTTTTGCAATGGTTCAATAAAATTATATAACGAAACAAAATGAAATAATTACACATGACATTCCAAGTTACTTATTACTCTTTTAACAGAGAATTGAGATTAACAAACTTAAAACAGGCTTGAAAAGCAGCAGCCAACCAAAATTCAAAGACTACCCCCATGTAAGTTCAATCCTTCACCATTCAGGTGAAGAATCTTTCTCGGAAGACAAAAAGAAACAGCTATGAATATGTTTGGAAAGAAAAGGTTTGACTAACATCTCAGGGTCCCTTGAAGGGGTTCTTGGATTGAAATGATCTACTGTAACACTACAGGAAGTTAACTACTTCTGAACAAACTCAAAACAACCCTGGAAAAATTGTACATGCAAGCCCCTATATCCCATATCCCATGTATCTATTATCTCCCAAATTATCCCCACTATGGCTCTGATTATCTTTTTACTTATCCAATCTTAGCACTTCTAGCGTCCCTACCAAAACTCTTCTATTCTAGAACTTGTCTAAGCTCTTACTCCAGGAGCAGCCAACCACCCTCAATATTCCCAACCTCTTCTCCAACATTCCCTCCACAGCCTTGCCTTCACTGAAACCTGGCTGTCCCCTCAGGGCACCACTTTGCCTGAAGTCCTCTCAAGCAGAACTTGTTTGGTCTCTCATACCCATGTACAGGAGGCAAGACTGGCATCTTCCTGCAGGCTCCCATAAAACCCATTAGCCCCTTAAGACTGACCTTCCCACTCCCCACTCCAGGTACAGCTACACCATCTCTCCCTCTCTTTATTGGGGAACTATTAATCTCTATATGCACTTACACATACCAAGCAAACTGAAAATTAAATTTATACATACATTGTATATGTTTCCACTCCCCTCCTGCCTTCTCAGAAATCTCATACTACAATTGATTCTCCTTCTCCTGCTGGTATAACTTCAATCTCTCCCTTTCTGGTAGGACCTATCCCATTAGCAAAATGCAAGCTTTAAATATCTCCTACCATAAAAATAGTTACATCTCCCCCTAAATCCCACTTTCCATTCTAGCTAGAAGTCATTTCCCCTTCTAGTCCTTCTAGCTAGAAGTTCTCCCACTTCTTTCTCCTTCACAGCCAAACTTATCAAAAATACCTACTTTTGCTGTCTCCATTTTGTCTCCTCACACTCACTCTTCCACCCACTTCCATCAGGCTCTGCCTCCACCGTCCTTAGCTCTTGCTAAGGCCACTAAGGATCATTAATTCATGTTACTAAATGCAACAATTTCTGGTCTTCCCTTACCTGGAATCTTAACAGCATGACAGACTTAACAACTCAATCATTTTTAAAACACTCTCTCTTCCCTTAGCTTCTGTGATCCCATGCTTATCAAACTTCTCTCCCACATTTGTAGCTGCTGCTTCTCAGTTTCCTTTTGGTTTCCACCCTCTTCTACTTCACAAAGAAGCAGGGGCCAAGGCCCTCTTCTCTTCTTGGTCTGTACTAGTTTACCAGATGATATTCCTCACTTCATGCCAAGAATGCCCAAGTTTTTCCATCAAGTTCTGACTTCTGTTCTAAGCTCCAGTCCCACATATCTGCTTATCTACTCAGCATCTCCATGTGGACATCTCACATAACCCTAATGCACAGTGTGGCCAACAACAAACTCATTATCATCTCCCAAACCAGCCCTGCCACCAATCGCATCAGCATCCACCAAGCTGCTCATGCCAATAACAAGATCATTCCCAATACTCTTTCTTCTCACTTTCCACTTCCAATTATCACCAAGTCCCATGGATTTTGCCTCTTCCAGTGAAACCTCTCCACTTTTCGACATTTTCACTGCTTCCCCAGACAAGTCCCTATCACTTCTCACCATCTCTCCTGATGATCTATTTATCTATTCCTGCCCCATCCACTGCACTTGGTACATCAGCAGCCAGAGCGATCTTTCAGAAATTCAAATCTGGTCATGTTATTCCTCCACTTTAAAATTCCTTCTCGGCTGCGCCCAGTGGCTCACGCATGTAATCCCAGCACTTTGGAAGGCCGAGGTGGGCAGATCACCTAAGGTCGAGAGTTCAAGACCAGCCTGACCAACACTGAGAAACCCCATCTCTACTAAAAATAAAAAATTAGCCGGGCATGGTGGCGCATGCCTATAATACCAGCAACTCCAGAGGCTGAGGCAGGAGAATCGCTTGAACCCGGGAGGTGGAGGCTGCAGTGAGCCAAGATTGTGCCACTGCACTCCAGCCTGAGCAACAGGAGCAAAACTCCGTTCTCAAAAAAACAAAATAAAAATTCCTTCTCTTAGACAAAAGTAAACATTAGGCCCTGCAAGATATGACCCTATTAACTTCTTTGGCCATTCTCATCCCTTGGTCACTATGCTCCAACTACCATAATTTTTCTTTCAGTTCCTCAAACATACCATGCAAGAACCTTCTCCCTGCGGGAACATCACACATTCTGGCCCCTCTGCCCAGACCACCACGCCATCACAACCCCTTCACACCTGTTGAATCCCTTTCATTCTTCAAGTCTCCATATAAATGTCACATTCTATATGCCCCACCGAGGACCGGGTTCCTCTGTTATACCCCCTAAGGGCATCTTAGATTTTTCCCTCATAGCACATATCCCAATTATAATTAAATTATTTATTTAATGTCTCTTTCTTTAGGCTGTAAGTGCCATGCAAGCAAAAACATTAGTTTTGTCACTGGTATAGTCTCAAAGCCCAGCCTTTCTAGGGCTACTTGTTATTTAAAGGGAAATTTTTCTTAGTATCAAGCAGTGATTCATACCGTGAATAAACATCCCTAATTCTTGAAGATGGTAACTGAAGTTTTTCTGTTGCTAATTTTTAATTATTAATCCTCTGCTGCTGTAATCATAGTGAATACATACAGGGCTCACAGAATGGCATGGCCTCTCAGTACTCTTACCTTTGGTATTTCTTTGGAGCCCAGAGCCTTGGGACCTTCTCGATTTAAGTAGCTTCGATAAGCTTGATAATTAGTGCGTTTCTTTTCAGAATCTTCAGGACTTATAGACTATGGGAAGAGGGAAAGGAAAATGAACAAAGTCATACAAAATTCATGCAAAATTAAAAGTACATATCTAGAAATACATGTTATCTTTATTATGTCACTTCTGTGTCTGGCCGTGAAATTAACAGTTTTAGCTACACAAGTACTTCCTAACTTACAGATAACTCACTTACGAACATCCCTGCATCAGTGCTTCTCAAAACTTTCCACTCTCTAAAGCCACACACCTCAGGGCAGATTATGGGAATAAGCCAAGTTGCCAGCTCCAAGCAAAGAAATGCAAAAGTGTTTTACTTTAGAAATTCATCTGAATTTTAAATTCTATTCCACGATATATCCATATATCCATGTTTAACAGGAAAATACATTTTTTCCCCAAGTAAACCTGATCACCCGAGAAGATATTCTGTGTTAACCTTCCATGCCCCTAAAGCACCAGCCTGCATCCCTAAGGACGTAAGCACTCCAGATGGAGAATCTAAACAGTCAGTTCAAAGAAGGGACAAGCTTTACTCCAAAGAGAAGACACGTTCTCTATGCTATTTCATCTCTCCCTTTCTACTTCTCTCAGGAGATTTACCATGGGTATATCTCAGAAAATCCTGGGGAACTTTTTGAAACTATCCATCCCTAGATCCATCTCCAAGTTTCTCTTTCGGAGATATGGGGTACAGCTAGAATGTGTTTATGTGGGGGAAAAATATCCTAGATAGTTCTCATTTAAGAACCACTATCAGGTGTTTGTTATTTTTCCACTTTCTATTTTACATTATTTTTAACTTGTAAGCAATCCCAAATCCTTTTGAGAGCAGACAAAATAATAACTTCTATATAAAGAAATGGCTTAACCAATAAAATAGTTTAGCTGGTTTGGCTAAGAGGTTGATAAGCCATTAACAGGCTGGTCCTAGAATCTAACCCTACTTTCTAACAATGGTTTTCAAATGTTGGTGTGTGTTCATATCATATGAGGAGCTTATTAAAATACAGCTGCCCACACCACATTCCCTGGGAAACTCCGTATTTTTAACAAGTTTTGTAAGACAGTCCAGTGCCTACCAACATGGGAAAACGATTAATTTATGACACTCATTCAATGAAAAGAATTCTGAATGATAAACAGCTTATAAAATAACTTTGAAGGACACCCATTTTATGAAGTCAGAATTATTTGACCAAGACCAACTAAATGTATTAAATAGACTTTATTTGATGTTTCCAACCAAAACTGCTTAAGTAAAAGTTTTAAGTTATTTCTATTCTAACTTCAAAAAGTACAGTGAAGAGTATCATTTAAAGATTTCCTCTTTCTTCATAAAAACAGACCGCCTCTGTAAATGGAACATGTTTTAGTGTGCCTGAAGAAAACCATTCATCTACCAGATAAGCATTTAGTGAAGAAAAAATCTGAGACCAAAAAGTTAATTGCTCCTTTAAGCATATTTATAAGAATTGTCCACAAACAAAAGCATTCTGAAATCATCACCATTTCACTGTTCTGCACTAAAAAATAATGGTGATGACCAGTTAAAATAGGTGATATTCTACTTTTAATCCTAAGTGCCTAAGAGGCATGAAGGAATAGTGGTTTCTCATTATGAATCTAAAGTAGTTCCAAATTGGAGATTCAGAGACCGTTCGCTTCTCAAATATATTTCCTAACAAAACTTTTCAAAGATATTCATTATCTCATCATTTTTTCCTTTAAAAATAATTTCAGTATCTCAACACTGTTATACAAGAATAAAAAAGAGTAAATTCAGAACTAATCCAAATAACAATCATTTTAATAATAATAGCTAAGATGGTACTTATTAGGTCCCAGGCACTGCTCTAAGTGCTTTTACATATGAAGTCATTAGGTACTATTAATATTATTCCTATTTTACAAACAGCACCAAAGCAGACGACAGGGAGAAAGTGGCACCAAATCCTTGCTCAGGCGGCCCAGCTATAATTTGTTGAGAAAACTGGTTCCAGAGCCTGTGTCGTGAGAACCACCTATTGTTATACTGCTGCAGAGGACCTGAGTCAAGGCTGGGGCCCTGCCAACTTACCAGGTGGGATATCTTGGAATAAATTACTTTCAGGCCTCCACTATTTCCTCATTTTAAATAGTTGAATATAAAAATAAATATCCTCAAGAGGGGTTGTTGGGAAAATACGACGTCACCACATGTAAAGTACTAGCACAGTATTTGACATACAATAACAATAAATATGGGCTTATTTAGGTTTATATTAATACTCCATAGTCCTCACACAGCTTCTAAATTAAGGGTATCTTAAAAATACTTATGATGACTTATGGTCGTAGGGAAAATAAAACTTGAACACAAACCAGACTAACCACATAGCCCAAATGTATACAGCAGTGCCGCCTTTATCCGAGAAGGGTATGTTTCCAAGACCCCACCAGATAGGGTTCCTAAAAACCACAGACAGTACCAAACTCATATAATATACTACATGTACTGTTTTTTCTATCTAAAACCAAGGTCGGCTACCAAGTGACTTAACGGTGGGTAGGTGTGGTCCAGAATATGCTGGACAAAGGAGATGATTCACATCCTTGGTGTGAATGAAGCAGGGCTGGCCAGAGATTTCATCGACGTTTACTTCAGAAGAGTACCATCAATGTTTAAACGCTTATTGATTTATTCCTGGAATTTTCCATTAATACTTTCAGACCACGTGATTAACCACCAGGTAACTGAAACTTCAGGAAAAGGTAAAATGATCGGATAAGGGAAATACCGTACGCCCTAGAAAGTCCTTACCTAAGGCCGGGCGCGTGGCTCACGGCCTGTAATCCCAGCACTTTGGAACCACCAAGGCGGATGGATCACCTGGAGGTTGGGAGGCTTCAGACCAGCCTGACCAACATGGAAAACCCCGTTCGCTACTAAAAATACCAAAATTAGCCGGGGCATGGTGGACATGCCTGTAATCCCAGCTACTTGGGAGGCTGAGGCAAGGAAAGTCACTTGAACCCGGGAGGCAGAGGTTGCAGTGAGCCGAGATTATGCCACTGCACTCCAACCTCAGCAACAAGAGCAAAACTCCATCTCAAAACAAACAAACAAAAAAAGTTACCTCTTTTTTAGCTGGAGAACTTTTGGTTTTCTTTAGGAGTTTTTTGTCTCTCCTTTCAATTCAACGGCATTTTCTTTTCTTTTTGAGGCCACCGGCGCTCTATTTCTTTATAAGTGCTCTCTTCTTTTCTTTTCATAATTTGCCAGCTTAGAACTGGCCTTGGGAGAAGAGACTTCTCCTATTTTGTCAGCTGATGACTTGGAATGTTGCTGAGGTTCTTTTGGAACTTTCATATTTAGTTGTGCTTCCTAGGACTGTAGCTCTTTCTTTCATCTGAAAATTGTTCTGTTTTTACTAGGAAGAAAGAAAAAGATTATGAATGTTGTTTTTGGAAAATGATAACCTATATCAACTTTTCTTTCGTTTTTCAACTGAGTATCTTAGCACAGAATATACCCTGAAGGCCCAAAGTCCTAAAGTGTCAAGGACACATCTGTTTATAGTAAATTTATAAAATATAGGTACTATATAGGACTAAGATCATCTAGACTAGCAGATGATTTGCTATCAGGACCACCGAAGAATAAAACCTACAGGCAATAAGCAAGAGAGCTGAAGATGACCTGGCCAACTATGAGTCAACTCTGAGACTACCTCTGACATGAAAAGCTCAAAACATCTAGTTCTTCATCTTTATATGCTGAAGTCCACATATCGCACTATACTTGGAAATTAACAAGAAACCTGGAGTTGTAATACATTTCTCACAGTAATCATAGAGCAGATGGGCATTCTGTACCAGCTAGCATCCAAAGAGCTTTCAAAGTATCTAAGCTGAATGTGCTCTAATAGTCCTACGAAATAATGTCTACCTAACAATACATAATTATTCAATAGAATATTTAAACAAGATTATCATGAATTTACTTCCATGAAGAGAAGTGCTCCATCTTACTTTTTTCTGCTAGTATTACCTTTATGAGGATATTTACGTTTTTCTGCTTTACTTAAATTGGCTTGGACAGATGAAAACGTTTCTCCCTCTTCTGTGTCCTTTCGAGCCTAAACAAATTTTAAAAGTGTCAAATGTAACAAATAATAGAAAAACTATTACCATAAAATCTGTTGTTAAAATCCTTAAAATTTTAAGTTTAAGGGTCACCTTTCAACTAGCAGGACACTACAATAAACTGTCATTCATTCATCCACAAAATTTCCAAGGCAAATGAGGCATGTTTTATTACTTCATGTTACAAATGAGGAAACAGATGAAAGGGTATAAAAATCCATCTATAAAAATTATCCCTCTTCATTCCAACCTGTAAATCTGGAAGTAGAAGCCTTATTTCTGCTTCCTTTATCTCAACTCTCAAACTGTTAGTATTAAGCAGTTAAAAACTAAAATCTAAACTTAAAAGACTAAAATAAAAATAAACAAAAGCTTGAAAGCAAAATGAGAGCACTTTCTGAAAGAGAAAAAAATATATCCATTCTTTTCACTGCTCCTTCAAAACTCCATTTTATAAAAAGTTCACAAATCAAGGTGTGTGATACAGTCTTTTAAAGTAATTACAATTTGACTGTCTTCAGATGAAGTAAGACTTTTCAAATGAGAAAGTCTCTGCCACTCCCTACTGTCTTAATACCTCCCCGCTTAGTCTCAGCTCCTGATATATCTAGGTTTACAACTCCCTGCTTTAAAAAAAAGAAGTAAAATCTTTTGAAGTAGTCACATATTGACACTGACAATTATATTAACAGAATGTGATTCATCAGAAATAAAGTTAATCTACTGGAGATAAATAAAAAATAAAAACAAAATAAAGTCTTGGCGTTTTAAAGATTCCCCAAAATAAGGCTGAGGCAGGCAGATCACTTGAGCTCAGGAGTTCCAAACCAGCTTGGGCAACATGGCAAAACTCCATCTCTACAAAAAACAAAAATATTAGCTGGGTGTGGTGACACACGCCTGTAGTCTCAGCTACTTGGAGGGCTGTGGTGAGGGGATCAATTGAGCCCAAGAAGTCAAGGTTGCAGTGAGCTGAGATAGCACCACTGCACTCCAGCGTGAGTGACAAAGTGAGACCTTGCAAAAAAAAAAAAAAAAGAAAGAAAGAAAGAAAAAGATTCCTCAACCTCAAAATATACTCATTATATGAGACTGTCATAATACAGATTTTAGAGTTAACTGATTAGAACTGACAAAACTGTGCTTCCTGAAAAGACAGTGATTAATATTAAAATTATTAAACTGGTGTTCCAAAGAAATTTTTACGAGCATTATTTTCTGAACAAGTACATACGAACTCCTATAATAAAGAGTTAAGGAAAAGGTAAACTGGGCGCAGAGGCTTATGCCTGTAATCCCAACACTTTGGGAGACTGAGGTAGGAAGATTGCTTGAGCTCATGAGTTCGAGGCTTCAGTGTGCTATGAACGTGCCAGTGTAATCCAGCCTGGGCAACAGAGACCTTGTCTCTAAACAAAAAAGAACTAAAAGGCCAGGCACGGTAGCTCACATCTATAATCTTAGCACTTTGAGAGGCTGAGGCAGGAGAATCGCTTGAACTCTGGAGTTCAAGACCAGCCTGGCCAACGTAACAAAGCCCATCTCTACAAAAACATACAAAAATTAGATGGCTGTGGTGGCACATGCCTATAGTCTCAGCTACTCAAGAGGCTGAGGCAGGAGGATCACTTGAGCTCTGGAGGCAAAAGTTGCACTGAGCCCAGATCACACCCGGCTGCACTCCAGCAGAGACCCTGTCTCTAAAATAAATAAAATAAAATAAAATAAAGTAAAATATAAAAAAAGAAAAAGGAAAAGATATAATTCTTTGTTTTGTGATAAAAGGTTCTGGTTTGCTTTGACGCTGTCACCCTTCTTTTAGGAAGAATAAGTTTCTCAATGAGCTTCCCCAAAAACATTTTTATAAATCAAAATAATTTAACTTCTTTCTGGAAAAGTTATTCACGTTTTGGCTAAAGCCTAGAACACGCAAGTATGAACACTGATCTGTACGGTATATTCAGAATGCAAACAGCCCAACATTATGCCACCTTTTTGGTCTTGGGTTCTTCATCCAACATGGCTAATGTTCTGGCAAACTCTTCATCTTCATGCAACTGCCTCTCCAGCTGTAAAATGTGTCAGCAAAGTGAGTTGAGTTGCTCTTTTTCTTTTTGTAAATAAAAGTTTTCAATGTCAGATTCATATATTTAGAAGAAACTAGAAAAACATTTTCCAGAAAATAATTACGACATTTTCCTACCCAACATTAACAGTCAAGTATCACGGGTTTGTTTCACTAAAGCTGAATCAGATTTTGGAACACACAGTTCTGGTTTTGCAGGGATGACAGATAAAGTGAGCATATTTTTAAAGTCATATTTCTTACTTATAAAACATTAGGTCTATACTTTTCTCTTAATGGTCCTTATGGAACACAGCTTTCTTGTTTCTATTTATTGTCTAAAAAGACCTCTGAAAGGACTCTCAACCTAATAGGAAAACACAATCATCTGGGGAGCACAAAAATAGTGAATCTAAGAATTTAAGAAAATTATACAGTTTTTTTTTTTGCACATACAGTAAGCTATATATAAATGTAAAATCACTTTTACTATCAAACTCCTATTTTCAATTACTAATTCAAATGCATCTGTTCTCTTTTGAAAATTTAAGTCATCATGTCAGGAGTTCTAACATGCTAATATAACACACGACATTCTAGTTATCTCAGTTATTTCGAAATACTTTCACTTCCAGCAACATGGAGCTCTTCCAAAAGAGACTATGTAGCAGTGGAATATCTTTCTCATTATAAACCAAATGGCTGTATACCCCCTGGTAAAATGGCCTTATGTGATATTCAATAAAAAACACCATACATTATTCAAACAAAGAAAAGGACTTCAAAATCCACTCAATCTTTTAAAAGAGAAAAAAGAAGGGAGGAAAAACTCTTAGAGGGATAATGAGGAAAGACATCTTCAGGCATTAACACCTAAAAGTCCTTAATCAGATTAATAAATTACCCAAACAAGATTCTGAAAGAATGTGATAAAAATGGAAAAATAGGGGATTATGATACAAAGTACCACACCTGGTTTGGAAAGGATTAGGTAACCCTCTAAGCATTTGGATCAGATAAGGAGAAATCAGGTTCCTAAAAATTACTTCCTAGTTTGACCTAGGCTACTTGCACTACCTTGAGTCATGTGGATACTTGTTTGTAGTTTATGTGATTCAGTGTGATCAAATAAGATAGAAAAATATTTTGAAAACACAAACTATAAACTGCCGAAGTAATAAAAAGTGAACAATCACAAACAATATTGTTCTCTCACAATAATACTTATCAAGAGCCCATTGTATGCCAGACACTAAGATAAGCACTGATGTAACAATGGTTGAGTGAGAGACACAAACAGTCCTGGTGAGGGGACCTCAGAGCCTATACTTTAATAGTAGCTATGACAGCGTGATAGAGTATATTGGAGGGGTTTCTAATATAGTTAAGGTAGTTTGGAAAGTGACACTTAAGCTAAACCAGAGGAAGGGAGTTCAAACAGCCGGCAGCTAAGCCCGGAACCTCTGACAGAGATGGGCGCTCCTCCCTGAAATACTTCTGTAAGATATCAACCCCTCCTGTTGTTCCTACTTCACTAGCCACTCTCTCCTCTCCTTTGCTGGATCATCCTCCTTTTCCTGACCTCTAAATGTTAACAGTGGCCCAGGGCTCAATCCTGAGACCTTTTTTTTTCTATTTGCATTATCTCCCCAAGATCTCACCCAGTTACACAGGTTTAAATATTACTCAACTGGTAATGATTTCCAAATGTCCATCTTCAGTTTAGACTTCTCCCCTGAGTTCCTGACTCTTCTACCCAACCGCCTACTCTGCATTTCCATTTGGAAGTCTATTAGACATCTCAAACTTAACTTGTTCAAAAGATTTATCTGTACCAAACCTGTTCTGCTTCCCGTGTTCCAGCCTTAGCAAATCATATCACCATTCACCCAGTTGTTAAGGCCATAACTGAATATTTTTTTCCCAGAGACAAGGTATTGCTCTGTCACCCAGGCTAGAGTACATTGGCACAATCACAGCTCATTGCAGCCTGAACCTCCCAGGTTTAAGCAATCCTCCCACCTCTGCCTCCCAAGTATCTGGGACCACAGGTGTGTACCACCGTGCCCAGCTAATTTTTGTATTTTTGGTAGAGATGGGATTTCCCTGTGTTACCCAGACTGGTCTTGAACTCCCAGGCTCAAGTGGTCCTCCCACCTCAGCCACCCGAAGTGCTGGGATTACAGGCGTGAGCCACCACGCCCAGCCTCATCTGTGAATCTTCTTCCCTCACACCTTACATCCCATCTGTCAAAAACAACTTGTACCTTTCAAGGTACATTCAGATTACGACCACTTCTCACTGCCTCTTCCTATTACAAGCTGACATCTCTCGCCTACCATTCAGTCTGCAAACTGATCTGCTTTCAATCTTGCCCCCACCATGAACTATTAACATCATTGAGCCAAAATAATTTTCTTTTAAGATCCATCAAGTCATGTCACTTCTCTATTCAAAACTCCAATGGGGCTGGGCGTGGTGGCTCACACCTGTAATCCAACACTTTGGGAGACTGAGGAGGGCACATCACTTGAGGTTAGGAGTTTGAGACCAGCCTGGCCAACATGGTGAAACCCCATCTCTACTAAAACTACATAAATTAGCCAGGCGTAGTGGTGGGCACCTGTAGCCTCAGTTACTGGGGCAGGTGAGGCAGGAGAATCACTTGATCCCGGGAGGCGGAGGTTGCAATTAGCCAGATCGTGCCACTGCACTCCAGCCTGGGCAACAAAGTGAGACTATCTTCAAAAAAAAAAAAACTCCAATGGGTTCCATTAACATCCTTTTTGTAGGTATCAAAGTCCTATCATGACCTACAGGATTTGCTGCTAGCCATTTCTCCAAAATCATCTCACAGCACCTGATCAATCTTCTCTAAAAATAAATCTTTCAGTAGTAAATAATTCTCCCCTGGTCTCATTATTTATCTCGTATAGAAATTTAGATTTTCGGCCGGGCGTGGTGGCTCAAGCCTGTAATCCCAGCACTTTGGGAGGCCGAGATGGGTGGATCACGAGGTCAGGAGATCGAGACCATCCTGGCTAACACGGTGAAACCCCATCTCTACTAAAAAAAAAAAATACAAAAAAAAACTAGCCGGGCGAGGTGGCGGGCGCCTGTAGTCCCAGCTACACGGGAGGCTGAGGCAGGAGAATGGCGTGAACCCGGGAGGCGAAGCTTGCAGTGAGCCGAGATCCGGCCACTGCACTCCAGCCTGGGCGACAGAGCGAGACTCCGTCTCAAAAAAAAAAAAAAAAAGAAATTTAGATTTTCATTTATTAGATTTTAACTTATTTTACATGTAACTTCCAATGAGGTTCAATTCAAAGTCTGGTTGGACTAAATAGCTAGTCACAATATCAAGTTACTAATGATTCTAAGCAAAATGCCAATACCTCCGCATCTTCATCAAGCTGTAATTGCTTGGCGATGGCTTCATCATTTAATCCAGACTCATTTGTATTTTGTGAAAGCTATATTTCAAAGAAAATCAAGCAAAATCAGCATAAACCTTAAGTGAAAAATAAGGCACTTTTTCTTTACTGCTGCTGATTAAACACACCAATGAGAGATAAGTGTATCAGTAATAGCTGCAATGTACACCAGCCAGAAAGCCAAATCTACGACTACTCCCTGACCATATCCAATTCCCTAATAAATAAATAGCCTATAGACAGACCTGTCTCAGTTCTATTGATATGTTCAAGAGAAGTACCAAAAATAAAAATAAAAATAAGCCAATCCTGTAGATTAATGTCTTGGCTTGACAAGTAGTCCAGAACATTGGCAAACCAACATGTGAGAATGATTACATTGTACTATGGAGGAAGTGATCGAATCAACAAACACCCACGATAGGGCAGGCTTTCTTTAACTCAGGGGACTACTTTCACCATAATTTATGTGGTATGTCTGTTTCCTAAATGGCCAGAAACAGATGAATCCAATATCTGTCAAAGTAGCGAAGGTCAAAAGTGTAGCATTGGTATGCTGTATTTGTAAAGACTCTATTTATTATCTCATGTGGAAACAAATTTATTTCTAATATTGACTGGCTGAGGTCAACAGTCAAATGAGTTTGCATTCTGAGAACTCAATTTAAATTCGAATAATTACAATTTTTTCTTACAGCTTAAAAGATCTTTTCCCGCTTTCACGAATTAAATAAACTAAATATGTAACATTCTAACTTCCTCATCCTTTAAAATGAGGGCAATATATTTTATCCATAATCATAGGAAAATTATTTTAATTATTAAAACATGTTGACCTATTTACTACATCCTAGTTTCTCCTGTTATTAATATTAGTGAATGGGTATAAATCCTGAGCATACTTGCTTATATGTAGAACACTCACCTCTTTTCTTTTGCTTGCCACCATCTTCTTATTAGATCTTTGGACACTTCCAGTTCCAAAATAATCAAGCACTGATGTGGGTGTAAGTTTTATTGGTGATAAAGGCTTATTCTTGGTCTTAGTGTTTTCTTCATTCTTTTTCATGTTTGATGTTCCAAGATGACTATTTGTAGATCTTCCATTCTCTTTTGATTTAGAGGCCGCCTTCTTACACATAAAGTCATCTTCTTCATCTTAAATGAAATGTAACCAAATATTTTTTATAAAACATCAATTCAGTTATACAAAGCAAACACTTCTACCAGCTTTATAAAAAGTATACAAGAGGCTACACATGGTGGCTCATGCTTGTAATCCCAGCACTTTGGGAGACCAAGATAGGAGGATCATTTGTGCTCAGGAGTCCGAGACCAGCCTGGGCAACATCATGAAATTCCGTCTCTACAAAAAAATTATCAAAAAATTAGCCAGGCATGGTGGTGCACACCTCTAGTCCCAGCTACTAGGGAGGCTGAGGCAAGAGGATATAAACCCAGGAGGTTGAGGCTACAGTTAGCTGTGATTGCACCACTGCACTCCAGCCTGAACAACAAAGACCCTGTCTCAAAAACAAAATAAGTATACAAGAACTTTGAGATGCTAGTAACTTTTTTACCTTCTATCTCCTAAATTCAACCATCATCCCCACATTTACCAGTGCCAGGCCTGTAATACACTGTCTCCGCCAATTACTACTGAGAATACACAAATATTTACTGAGCACCCATTATGTACCAGGCACTTAAGATACAGCAGTGAATAAAAAAGACAAAATTCCTGCCCTCATGGAACTTGAAGTCTAGAAGAGGAAACAGATATACAAATAAACAAATACACATTGTCAAGTCAAATGTTCTATGAATAAAAAGTAAAACAGGGTGAAACAGGGTGAAAGAATTAAAGAGTGATGAAGGATACTCTTTGAGATAAGGTAGTCAGGGAATGCCTCTTTGATAAACAACACTTTGACAGAGGCCTGAAATGAAGATACCTCAGGCAAGAATATTCGGGCAGTTAAAATTACAAAGGGAAAAGCGAGATGGGAGTGTGCCTGGAGTTCAATGTGGCTGCAGCACAATGCGGAGGCGTGCCAGAAGAGTTCGAGTGAAAGAGGTAGGGGCCAAATCCTGGAGGACTTTCTAGGCAGTAGGAATAATTTTAGTCTTTATTATAGAATGGGAATCCACTGGAGAATTTTGAGCATAGTTTGTGACCCAACTTAAGGCCTGTCCTTTGAAGAACACACAGAAGAGGGGGGGAAAGTAAATGCAGGGAGACCATTTAGAAAGCTACTGCAGTTCCAGATGAGATGCGGGAGGCTTGGACTATGGTGGTATTTGCAGAGGTGGTAAGTTGTCAAGTTCTAGCTATATATTGCAGGTGAACCATCTACTGATATCTAACCATTCATTTAAGACCATAAACTCTTTGTTACATTTTCTTTTTCTAAAAAGTTCCCACAAAACATCTTTTAAAAAGTTTCCCTACACATCTTTTTAAGCATTCATGACAATGTTTAGATAATTAGAAGCTCCAAAAATGTACCTCAAAAGGGTGTCAATAAATTTGTTTGCTTCAGTGATTCACAAAAAATAAAAATAAAATAAAGCTTTTCAATTTGGCCTATTGACAAAAGAAATCCAATAAAAATGAAAATCTAAGAGACAAACATGAAGTCAGGGACGGTAGCATAAACCTGTCATTCCAGTACCTTGGGAGGCTGAGGCGGAGGACTGCTTGAGCCCAGGAATTCAAGATCAGCCTGGGCAACATAATGAGACTATCTCTACCAAAAAAAATTAGCTGGGGATCACTTGAGGTCAGGAGTTTGACACCAGCCTGGTCAACATCGTGAAACCCCATCTCTACTAAAATTACAAAACTTAGCCGGGCAGAGTGGTGCACGCCTGTAGTCCCAGCTACTCCGGAGGCAGAGGCAGAGGGTGCAGTGAGCTGAAATAGTGCCTCTGCACTCCAGCCTGGGAGACAGAGCAAGACTCTATCTCAAAAAAAAAAAAAAAAAAAAAAAAATTAAGCTGGGCATGGTGGTGCATGCCTGTAGCCCCAGTTACTCAGAAGGCCTGAGGTGGGAGGATCACTTGAGCCCAAGAGATGGAGGCTGCAGTAAGCCTCAATTGTACCACTGCACTCCAACCTATCTCTAAAAAAATTTTTTTTAATAAAATTGAAAACAGGCTAGGTGCAGTGGCTCACACCTGTAATCCCAGCATTCTGAGAGGCCCAGATGGGCGGATCGTTTGAGGTCAGGAGTTCAAGACCAGCTTGGCCAACATGGTGAGACCCCGTCTCTACTAAAAACACAAAAATTAGCCGAGCATGGTGGAATGTGCCTGTAATCCCAGCTACTTGGGCGTTTTGAGGCAGGAGAATCACTTGAACTGGGAGGCGGAGGTTACAGTGAACTGAGATTGCACCACTGCACTCCAGCCTGGGCGAGAGTGAGACTCCCTCTCAAAAAAGAAGAAAAAAAACCCTTTTTTTTTTAAAATAAAAGACAACCATGAAGATTAGGTCATAGTGGGGATGGGGAACAGTTCACTTTATAAATTTGGTATGCAAAGCCACATATGAGTGGCTCTTATGTCCTCTCAACTGCTCCCTCATTCAACTATGAACATTTGCTCAAGGCCTTATGTCCCAGGCCCTGTGTTATCCTTAGGTGGCTGCCATTTCAAACATGAAAGTATCTAATGATACGTAAAAATTAAAAGGATTTAGCCTTACCTTCTAATTACTATATTTATATTAAAATGAAACTATAAATTTTGCAACACATAACTCTTACAGGTTTCTGATTACTAAAAATAACCCACTATTTAAAACAAGCACGTAGTAGCCAGTGCCCTTCACTACAAGCACATTTTCTCTAATAATTTACAGCTCACCCCACCCTCCAAAGGGCCTCCAAAAACCACAGATATATCCATCAGATGGCTCCACACTCTTGACCACAATCAACTAGACCAGGAGTGAGCACTTGAGCAAGGTGTGGCCAACTTTATCCTTGATTTGTTGAACCAGTATGTACAAACCAAGGTGCAAAATGTTTATTTCTACATTCAGTGAGAAAAGTTAGCAGGCTCCGAATAAATTCCCCCATTTTGCTTACACTAAAGTGTTTGCAACTGAAAGACTTAAATTAAAACGTATTTGTTTCATTTGTCTTCAACTATAGTCAATCCACCATCAAGTCTTAATTAAAAATTTATCCATAACTCTTTCTAAAGCACATCCAAGGTCTGATACAATTAACAGATTTCAGTTCAACCATACATTACAGAGAGTCAACAGACTAGGTTCAGTCATTCAAATATCTGTTCTCCCTACCTAACTACTGGTTTTTCTCTGCCTCTTTGTCAGACAGGAAAAAGGCTTTGCAAAAGGCTAGGTAACATCACCATTCCATTTATAATAGCCATGTGGATCACCCATAATAGTCCTAGTAACTAACCATTGAGAATATAATCTCAAAGTCCTTTCCTTTTCTCTAAAATAATAACACAACGATCATGGTATTATAGAAACTCAAAGTTTTTATACTTCACAGCTGGCCAGTTATACCCAAATATGTCAAATTTCTTATCTTATTAAATTTTATAATCTTTATTTGCTTTAAGTTCAACAATTGTACTTCTGGGCAAGAGGGAGTCCCTTAATGGAGAAAGAACAAACTTAAATTATCTCTGAAATGATGGTGCTCTACTAGTTTCCCACCACCGTAAAAATGCCAAAAATACTAACATTCCATTTCCACTACACCTAGCCATGCTTATAAGCAGTATGACAGAAAACCCCATAGCTGAGTGGGTGAGATCAACTACTATGGAGAGCAGGTTGCAATAGGGCAAGAAAAGGGGAAGTCAGAAAGTAAGTGACCATGTAGGCAAAGATGGCCTCAACTATAATAATGGCAGTATGAACAGAGAGATGTGAGTATTGTTTATAATATGGGAAAACAAATAACCTAAATATCTATTAATATGTATATTCAACCATGTAACAAAATCTCTACAGCAATAAAAATTATAACAAATATCCATATTTACTCACAGAAATATATTCATGTTTATGAGGTGGCAAAAGCAGATGACGTAACAGTATGTTTAATGACACTGTTTATCTCTAGATATATACATAATTTTTAAATTCACATTCTAAAATCTGAAAAGAATCAATAAAACATTAACAATGTTTATCTCTGATTAGGGAAATATGGGTAATTTTCATGTTTTCTTCACACCCTTTGATATGGTTTGGCTGTGTCCCTAACCCAAATCTCATCCTGAATTCCCACATGTTATGGGAGGGATCCTGAGAAAGGTGAATGAATCATGGGGACAGGTCTTTCCTGTGCTGTTCTCGTGATAGTGAATAAGTCTCATGAGATCTGATGTCTTGTCTGCTGACACTTGAGACGTGTCTTTCCCCTTCCACCATGATTGTGAGGTCCCCAGCCACGTGGAACTGTAAGTCCAATAAATCTTTCTTTCATAAATTGCCCAGTCTCGGGTATGTCTTCATTAGCAGCGTGAAAACGGACTAATACACCCTTTTCTCCATCTAATGTTTTACAACAAATTGACTACATCCTAGAACTCTCTGACCCCTTAGCTTTCAGAGTCAGTGCTTTAGTTTCTATCTCCTCTCCACTCTTCTTTGCTTACTTCTGTTCATTATTTATCAGCATCTCTGCTATTCTGTTGCTGGCTTCACAGACTTCATGGTATCTTTTAATTTACTATTAATAAGTTTTTATTGAGCATTAAACTACATGCCAAGAACTGTAAAATAAATGATCTTTAGTCAACCAGTCCTACCTCCTTATTCAATACAGAGACCCCATTTTCCACATTTCTAACAAAAAAAATAGACTAGACTTAAATACTTTCAAAATCGAGCAACATTAATTCACCTTCTTTCTTTAGTGAATAGCAAAATACTATACTCCTTAAGAAAGTTTTTCCTTATATTAAGTCAAAATACTTCCCTGTGAATTCCACCTCTTTCCTTAATCTATCCGCTGAGAGGGAGAAAAAGTTTATCTACTTTTTCCACATCCAGCATCTGAAGACTGCTCTTATTTCTTCCTTACGTCCCCTTCTCTATAAATAGTAAAACAGTTTCAAGCCACTCAACATTTAGGTTACTGGGAAGATTAAATTTTTCTTAAAGG